ATCAATATCATCAAGAATCACGTATTTCGCATTATTATTCCATTGTTTTGATTCTCTAAGCTTACAATAGTATATATATGATAATTTTAAAGATCTAAACAAAGCAGTTTTACCTGAACGAGTATTTCCCACAATCATTATACTCTTATATTGTTTCTTTTTTGTAAACAAATTTTCTTTAATCCATTCAAATATTATTTTAGAAACCCAAAAATCATCTAATTCATAAGATGATTTATAATACAATTCTTTTTCGATTTCTTTCTTCTCCTCCTCCTCTTTTTTATTTGATGAAGTTTATGCAATTGCATAATATTTTTTACCATTTTTGGATCTTGTTTAAAAATATTAATAAATTCATAATTTGTTGTTGGATCAAGTATAATATTTACAGCATTTTCAAAACTCCCTTGTTCTTTTTCATCAATTTTCACTTTTTCAGTGCCTATTTTTTCTTTAAAATTTTCTTCTCCAAAAATAAATGGACCTTTTTGCTCCGAATTTAATTCATTTCCTAAACTATCACAAACAATTAATAATTCACGAAATTCTTGACAAAAATCATCACATTTATCACAACAATCATCTAAATTAATATAATCACATCGACATTCTTGATGAACCGAACATCTTTTATATTTTTTTATTGAGTAATTTCACATATCAACAGCACTTTTATCACCTCCATAAAAATTATTCATTATATTCATACTCATATTTCCAAAAATTTCCTTAATCCATTTAAAATTCATCCATGAATTTAATTGAACATAATACTGCTCATGAAATTGTCCAGTTTCACCTCTTTCGTATTGTCCAGAAAAATATTTAACACCCTGTTCATTAACTTTTTTAAATTGTTCTTGCGTTGTAATCATTGTTCTTTCACATTCAATATTATTTTCAACACAATTTGAACATATTAAATCATTACATTGATATTGTTTACAACATTTTTGACATAAATTTCTACAATGAACATGATTCTTTTCACATCTTTTACATAGTGATCCATCTTTAACTACAGATTCTTTACATCTAAATCTTTCTGAACAATTCTTACAAAGAGTAATAGTAACTAAAGCATGTTTAACCTTGTATTGTTTTTTTGAAAACATTTTATATCATTTAATTTTTAATAATTTGATTCATTTATAAAATTAACATTATTAATTAATTTATAAAATAAAATATAAATATATAATAAAATTAATCTAGATAATTTTAAAATGAAAAAAATAACAAAATTATTACTATTATTAATATTTATTTTTTTATTTTTTATAAAATATGTAATACTAAATTATATCGATAATCAAAACAGTTTTGAGAATGAATTAATCTACGAATTATTCCTTCATATGAATCTGAATCGAAGCGGATATTTCGGTTCAAAACCACTCTTTTACCCTAATATTATACAAAACATACAACAAGAACCACCAATAAGACAAATACCAAGACAAATACAAAGACAACCTGAAAGAATAAGAGAAAATCCAGAAGAAAACCCAGAAAATCAATAACAAAATATTCAATACGCATGTCCTTTATGCAACCGTAATTTTAATCTTGATAATTTAAATGGTGTATACTTAGCATGTCAATATAATCATATATTTCACGTAGCATATTTAAATAATTACTTGAGAGATCCAAACAATGATGGTGTATTAAATAACATTTGTCCAATAAGAGATAGAAGACAATATAGAATACGTTATATGAATCTTTGGAGACAAGCTAACAGAGGAGATTTTATATACAGAAGAAGATAATATATCACATTGATAAGAATCATCCAGGGCGGCCATCAAAAACGCGGATCTTGGCGCAGCAGCGGCAATACGTCGATCACATGGCGCAGCAA